TACGAGACTGTGGTACTTACCTGATTGGAGACTTGGAGATTGTTCAGGTTGATACTCGGCTGCATCACAGTTGGACACCGGTTACATCTGGACTCTGTTATCTCCGACATTGGTGACCTTTGGTCCTCGACATTTTGATCTTGTTATATGACATTCTGGACTACCATTTCGGAGACCTATCAGACTCTATCTTTGTGACTATCGGTGTGTTCTACCTCCTTCGTCTCTCCTCCCACCTTTCATCTGTGGATGTGTGTACGGGATCTGGGTATCGTCTATGAATGACCCAGACCCCACCATCTCATGATTGTATGTGTGTGGAGTGATGCCATGTAAGTCAGTTGGTGTGAGTCAATGTGAGTCAGTTCGTTATCAGACTTCCGCTGCATAAATGCTCATCCTATATTGGTTGATCTTTGGTTCTGCCCATACTCATTGAAGTATGTAACAGTTTTGGTATCGGAGCAGACCAAAACGGATCTGCTCACCAGGTAAGTCCGTTTRGAATTAGGTTATCATGTTTGATCTTCTAAATCGGCGCTGAAGTATTATCAAGTTCAAAGTTGCAAATTTTCTTTCTTTCGGTATTCTGGCTATTTCAGCGATTCCGTTTCAATTCAGTATTCGGACTTTTTTTCGGATTTCTGTTGTACACGGTATGCTGTTTAATTAGATCCGAGAGATTGATACTAATCCATTTCTGTTTGATTCGGATTTCTGATTAAGTAATTCGTAATTAGGGTTGAATCAGTATCATGTTTGAAAGTCGGCTTTTCTGATTTTCATTCAGCATTCCGTTTTTCGGCATTCTGTTGTAAATCCTATCTTTCGTTTTCTCTTGAGATCTCCGTTGTCTTTCAATATGGGAATTAGGGTTATGAAAATCTTTTGGCTTTAGATCAACTTGGGGAAACTCGAACATTTTGGGACCGTAAATCCRGAAATTTCGCCGAAACGCGGAAATTAGGGTTGGGACCGAAATTTTCGCGAATTTTTTTTTCGTTCTCCTTGTTTGAGAAATTCCGAAAATAGGTTTAGGCTTTTAAAAATCGGTTTTGACGGTGGGAATTCCCGAAAATTCGCATTTTTGAAAATTCGAGCGTTTTTTCTTCTGAAATTTCCGAAATTTTTTTAGCACACTAAGCTGTATCTGACCCTCAAACTGCAACTTCCGGGTAGTTCACTCAGTAACGGTGAACTCCCGGACTCAAAGTGATCTCAAAAGAGACCTAATCATAATACCTTTCAAATTCGTTTATTTATTAGTTATCTTTATTTACAAACATTGTTTTACTGATTATCATTAATTGGTTATCTTTATTACAAACATTGTTTGCTGATTATCATTCGGATTTATTTCGTTAATTATCATTAATTAATTTTATTGATTAAATCGTTATAAATTCCTTGTTACGAATTTTTCGAAGGGTTTACAAGAAATTTATTTTTTTCCCTGTTTGATTAGGTGTCTACAGTCCAGCAGTGGGACAGGGGATTGTATGGATATTGCTTGATTGTTCTACCCCTGTTCCCACTCTCCCTACCCCCCGTGTTCTGTGATTACCGGGACTTCTCAAGTACCGCATCGGTTCAGACTGATGTCGACGGAACAGGACACCGGGGCACTGCCACGACGCAGTGCCAGAATCGCAGTTCGTGCCCGCCTTGCAGTACCTCCAAGACCGAAGAAACTCAGCAGGCGGACGACT